AGAGTAAAATTAAAAGACCTGAACGACATGAGTTTTTAAATACAGTATTAAACTCTAGTTGCATAAATCGGCACTGCATGATTCTTAGTCATCCTTTCCCAAAACTGAAAATTTTTCACTGAAGTACCAACAGCATACATTTTTAAAGTATAATTTAAGAAAAGATACTGTTTGATTTTTGTAATTTTATATGTTATAACAAAAGAAAGCAGAGTATTAAAGGCTTTCTGATCGTTTCACATACGAAACTTTCTACAACTGATCTGACGTTAAATGACGTAGCAATGCTGCTCCGGGTCGATAGATTTATGCATGTTTATTATTTCACTGAAAGTTCGCTTATTATCATAGGAATTACAAATTTTGTATAAGTTTATTCATTCTTTATAAAATGTTGATGAATTTTCATGAAATTATCTCCGTCTTCTACGGGGTAAATGTAATTGTCTCAATAATTTCCGAACAGCCCTCGTACACCTGTACATACATCATTCATGAATTTGCAATGATATAAAAGACAGGAAAAGTTTACCAACACATGGAGACAAACTTTTTGTAACTCGTCTGTCACCTGTTTATATCAAACACTTTTATTTTGAACATTCATATGTACAATGTTTTAAAAATATTTTTTTTAACCATAGGTACATCTATGGAAATCAAATAAATGTATTAGACAAAAGATTTTTCAAAGATCTTCCAACATTAAAAATATTGTAAATATACAGTCTATTATTTACAATTTAACAATAATAATATTGCTACTGTGTGAAACCATAATTAAATGCCCCTGTAATAGAGGATTAGTGACCTATAGATCATTTTCTGCTCTTCTCTTTGTATGTTTTTCTGTTAATATGTTAGCAAAAAAACCTTATCTATAATATTTAAATGGTTGAAGCTAGAACTGTATATATGGATAAGATGTTTTTGCTACCAACATTATCTTATGCACTTTACCTTATGCCTAAAACTAAAACGAAATTTCAATTTTCTGCATAACTTAGGAATGTTTGTGTTGTGCTTTTTTTACATAAATGTACACGTGTCATGTGATAAGATTTTGAAATGAATAAAATAGACCTGTCTACGTTTTTTTTTGTAATATATCCAAGTCACTAAAGATGTATAATGAATTCATATCTTACAGATCAGTAGAAGACAATCCTCTGCACTGTGATTGCATCTTGGCAGAATTTGTCAGTTTTGCCAAATCAAAGAACCTGACATTGAAGGATAGGACAGAACCTGAATGTTCAACTCCCGGTAATCTGAAAGGAGTAATGATAAAGGATCTCTCACTACAAGAAATGGGCTGTTCTCTCACTACAACTACTAAAGAAGATATCACTACAACTACCAAAGAAGATCCCACTACACCAACAACAACATTACTGGAAATGCCAGGTATAATAATTTTTCCTTTCTTAAATCCCCCATTGATTTCTCTTTGTATTCTCATATATTTCCGGTAAGAGACACCGTTTTGAACTCAATTGAACCTGAATGGTAAGGAAGGTATTCAACGTAAAGTAACATCTATCTTGATAGGGGCGACAAAGTGAGTTAAACAAAGAAAAAAAATAAACGTGTTTGTGTTACATGTACCTATTTTTCTTCGGATCAAGTTACCTTTTTTATAATTAATAATAACCTAATGTGAGAGCTTAAAATTCTTTTTTTTTTTAAGTTTGATGTCGGGTGTACGGTCAATATGCAAGATGAATCTAAAATAACAGAAAATAGAAAATATTATAATTTATTGAAATAACTTAAAATTAAAGTTACATATCAGCTAGCGCGTTTTAAAATGAAATAATGTTTTTCCTTTATTTATGTTTATTTTATATTATTACTGATCTTTTATTTAAGCAATTCATTTATATATTCTTCTTGTTTAAAGGGGAATTGAAATGACATAAAAGATAATTATTTTAATTAGGTATATGCTGTAGTGCGCGAAATTATGCCTGTTCGATCTATTTGATATGGAGTCTGATCGAAACAGAAACGAAATTCTGTCCTTATTTTGACCGTATAATATCAGTGATAGTCATTTAAAATTGAGTAATACATAATATATGGTGGTGATTGTTCAGCTTTTGATTACATTTTATGGTAATTAAAATATTAAAAAGATGTCAGTGAAAGTCTGATTTTAATTTTATCATGACTGTAAACAGCGTGTACTACAAAAAATGTGCAGAATTGTACATCCTACAGTGAAAGCATCAATCCGGGGATTTTAACGCATGCGAAATAAATTACTGATTTTCGCCTCTGATCTATGCTTGCGCCTGATTTGTTAAAATTAATTATTCTTTTCACCCGATGCAACAGGTAAGAAAAAGAACAGAAATCACAAAAGGTATTTTAAAGGAGAGAGAAAGAGAGAGATCTGTTATCTCTGATAGATTAAAGGGCAATTGAAGCGATTTAAGCTGATAGATTAAAGAACAAAAATTACCATTCAATTCGGAAGATGGAATACAATCGCCGTGTAATCTTATTACAGTTTGTCAAATTAGTCGTATATATAAGCGCTCCGACTCGATATACATACCTCTTTCCGTTAAGAAGAAACAACAACAAAAGATTCACCTCATGGAGTTTGGCTACCATGCTGGTAGTATATATATTTTACAAATCTTTATTTGAAAAATATTATTCTGTCAATTATATTTTGATTAAAACATATGAGAGAAAGTTACACAAAATCCAATGTGAATTATCAACAAGTGTTATATGAAAGAAAGTTAACAAACCCCTAATGATTTATCAACAAGTGTAATAGTCAGTAAATTATGTATAATATTTTGTTATATCCTGGTTAAGACATTTAATGATAAATGAAGAATTTAAACAGGTAAGAATTTGATATATTCAATTGCATTGCGAGCCTTTGTTCATTCCTATTTCAAGACCGAGTTAGTTATAGAAATTGGAATTAATTTCATTTTTTTTTTCATGGTTTAAAAATTCAAATGATTAAATCACATTTGAATGATTTGCTTTTTAGTTTAGTAACAGTTTTATCAAAGTCATCAAACGTAACATTTGAAAAATAAAATATTTTGTTTTGATGTCTTAATAATTTTGTTTCATATAACTTTGCAATGTTAAATAGTATAAACAAATGCATTGTGTCTTGCATGCGAGCAGTAGCTTTCGTTTTGCATGATTAATTTTGATCAGTTCTAATTTACTTTTTGGATGCAGCATTCATTCTAAAAAGGTTCATGTTTCTTTTTACATATATAAAATTTGCACAGAATAAACTTTTTACCAATATTCAATGTACCATTCCATTGTGTTACTTTTACCAAAAAATTCTCATCTGATATATAATGTATGACGCAAAATATAAGAGCTTGCTTTACAAATTTTATTTGATTCTTTGTCAATGGCAATCATGTGGTTATTGAGATGTTTTTATTTCAAATGAAGATTCCATGTGAGTATTGTTTTGATGTCAATATAATGATACAATGCATCTTTAAAATGTGGATTTTAATTTTGAAAGACGTTCTTGTAGTTGTCAGAAACATTTTTTTTTAATTGCAGAGATCATTTAAAACTGCATGGATTTCCTTGTGAGATATTTTAAAACTACAAAATCGATTTTTATTTCATTATCTTTAATAAACTTGTATTTTAGACACCATGATCATATGTTCAGTGCTGTTCTCACATGTGTTTTTTAGGTTTTCAGCCATCTCGATTCCCGTGAGGTATGTATACCATTATCTATACAATATCTAGCGGAACTACACAGTCACTATTCAAAATGTATCCACAATGGTTCATCAGAAAGATGACATTTACAGGGTATTTGAACAGTCTAGCTTTTTATGATATCAAGTAACAGATTAAGATGACAACATTATTCTTGTTTATAGGATTTCTTTGAGAAAACGTAATGGTGAGCGGGATGATGTTTCAGTGGAGTGAGTATAGTGCCTATGGCTTACTTTTCTTAAAATATGTATCAAATAAATTGGTTCATCCATTATATCAAAATTCTATTTTCATTATTTGTATTTTATTGTTTGTTGTTTATCATCCCATCAAAAAAATACACTCAGATCAACGTCACCAATGTTTCAAAGCCTTTTAAAACAATGAAAGAAGGGACAAAATCAAAGAACTTTGTTGTTTTAAAGTGTTTTTAGAATGTACATCATTTCAAAATATAGACAGTTGAAGCGCTTTCAGAATAAATGTATAAAACAAAATTCTAGACTAAGATTTTGGTACTACTGATAATGTTAATTAAATGATCCGTTCTTTATCTATTTAATATCCCGCGGAACTACACAATCACTATTCAAAATATATCCACAATGGTTTATCAGAAAGATGGAATTTACAGGGTGTTGGAACAGTCTAGCTTTTTATGAAGTCAAATAACAGATTAAGACGTTATATGTTAACATATAATTTGTTTATAGGATTTATTTGAAAAAAAAGTCATGGGTGAGCAAGGTAAAATTGAAGTGGAGTGAGTATAGTGTCTATGGCTTACTTTTCTTGAAATATGTATCAAATAAATGGGTCATCCATTATATCATAATAATATATTCATAATAAATAGAAAAATGAATATGATGGAAAACTGAATTGCAATTGATTAAAAAATAATTTTAAAAAACCCTTTCCATTCAAAAATACTCTTAGGTTAAGATGTAAATGAAAGTTGCTTACAGATTTTCTTCTTCCTTTAATCTAGGGAGATGGTGAGGGACAGACTTGTTTGTTTGCTTTATTCTACCAAGGAACAGGACATAGGAACATATCAGGTATTTTATTAACCTTTTTTATCATTTTTACTAATGTTTAATTTGTTAATTTTACAAGGATTTGTTTCAAATATATCTATTTTGCCAAGGGTATTTGTCTCTCTTCTCAGCTGAAATTACATATTGTATAGAATCCTGAATGCCATCTGGAAATATATGTACAAATCTGATGACATCATGAAACAAACAAAAATACTTTAATTCTTCTTACCAAAATATGTCCCGTGTCAGCTTTTAAAAAAATTAGTTTATGCTTAAATCTAGGAAATTGGTGAGGGACAGACTTTTTCGTTGTCGTATACTAACAATGAACGGAACATAGAAACACGTCAGGTATTTTATGAACCTTTTTCTCGTACCAGTTTTACTAATGTTTATTTGGTTAAATTAACGAGGAGTTGTTTCAAATACATCTAATTTTACCAAGGGTCTTTGCTTTTTTCTCTGCTGAAATTTCATATTGTATAGAATCCTGAACGCCATTTAGAAATACATGTACAAATATTAGGAAATGGTCAATATCTGACATCATGAAACAAGCGAAAATCATTAACCTCTTCTTACCAAAATATGCCCAGCTTTAGCTTTTTAAAAACAGATTATGCTTTAACCTAGGAAATTGGTGAGGGACAGACTTGTTCGTTTGCTTTAATCTACCAAGGACCAGGGCATAGAAACATGTCAGGTACTTTATAAACTTTTTTTGTTCTTTTTTCACTAGGGTTTAATTGGTTGAATTTCCGAGGAGTTTCAGGTATATTCATTTTCGCCAAGGCCCGTTGCCTCTCTTCTTCGCTGTAATTTCATATTGTATAGAATCCTAAACGCTATCTAGAAATACATGTATAGATATCAGGCATCATATTTACTTTCAGCTGTGATGAAATTCAACCGTTTAAGATTGGGGTACATCTACCAGACATATAGAGTTGTACTTTAGCAGCCCAAAGACACATCTAAGTAATCCTGACTGGGCCTTTAATCTACATGTACTTCTGTATTAGGTTTGTTCTTGACGTTATTAAATGCTATTATGTTTTCTTTGTTTAAAAGATTCAACTTCTTAATTTCAAAATTAAATTTTGTTTAAAAATTCGGTCAAAATATCTTTTTATTTAAAGCTGTACCTCTGAGCACAACTGGGTATGCAAAATTTTATCCTAGACCATGCGTGAAAAACATATGGATGAGTAACACTGGATCAGTGATACAACAATTTATCCTAAACCATGCATGATAAAAAATGGATGAGTAATTCTTGATCAGAGATGCAACATTATATTCTAGACCATGCATGGAAAAAAGTTAACGAGTACTACTTGACCAGTGATGCAACATTATATTCTAGACCATGCGTGAAAAATATATGGATGAGAAAAACAATGTGTGCAAATTATATTCTAGACAAAAATTTATCAAGCCATGCGTGGAGAAACGTTAACGAGTACTACTTGACCAGTGATGGAACATTTTATTCTAGACCATGCGTAAAAAAATAGATGAGTACTACTTGATCGCCGAGTGATGCAACATTTATTCTAGACCATGCGTGAAAAAAATAGATGCACATGAGAAAAACAATGTGTGCTTTAAATCTGTATCCTATCTTTTATCAAAAACTATTACTAATGTGATTTTCCGGTGTTCTCGTTTCAGATTTATTTTCCGCATTGTATATATTAAATTGCATATTTTTTTTTACTCTTTGTTTTATGAGAAGGATATGGAAATAACGAACAGTATTTCATTTTATTTAGATTCTTTCTGTAATCTTTAGTTTACTTGTATGTAGTTCATCTAAGTTCTGTAACACGGTCCTTCTCACAATTTCAATTTCATTTTAGTCACCCTTAAAAGATACAAACATACGATCTTCGCAACTGGGATGTTTCAATATTTTTTTAGAAAAGAAGGGCTGTTTAAACAGTTTGCAAAAAGTATGAATATTTGTTATTTTTAATTCAAGAAATCAAGATACAGGTAATACATAATTACATGTTAACGTATAGACTTTGACTGTGTGTTTTATTTGACAATTTTTCAAAAGAGTTATGTTAAATAAATCTAAAATTAATGTTTTGAGATAAAGGGGCACTTTTATCATGGCATAATTAAAAACATTCAAAGTAGAACTTGTAACAAAATTGAACAATATGGCAGAGACATGCACATTTTCCGAAAAGCACTCAACTATACGTGTAAATAGATATCTCAAGACAAAAGAAAATTACGATGGACATTTATTTTGTATTTATGTATTTTTAGCGGACCTGAGCCAAAGGCTCAAGTGAGCTTTTCTGATAAAAATATGTCCGTTGTCTGTTGTTGTCGTTGTTGTCGTCATAAACTGTTTACATTTTCATCTCCTTCTCAAGAACCACTTGGCTAATTTCAACCAAACTTGTCACAAATAAAGTATCCTTGTGTAAAGGGGATTTGCATTTGTTCAAATGAAGGACCAAACCCTCTTCAAAGGGGAGATTATTGTGATTCAATAAAAAAAATAATTGAATCTTAAAAAAACACTTTCTCTTGAGCCATTGGGCCAAGAAAGATGAAACTCACTTAGAAGCATTCTCAGGCAGTGTAAATTCAAATTGTGTGTAGAGCGGGGCTGCAATGACATATCAAAGATTTACATAAGGATATAATGGGAAAATCTGGAAAAATCTTCTTCTCCAGGACCACTTGGGCCACGAAAGATGAAACTTATGTGGAAGCATCCTCAGGTAGTGTAGATTCAAGTTTGTTCAAATCATGCCCCCCAGGTTTAGGACGGGGCCACATTGGGAGATCAAATGTTTTACATAGAAATATATATAGGTTTTTTAAATCTTCTTCACCAGACCCATTGAACCAGGAAAGATGAAACCCATTTTGAAGCATCCTCAGAATATGTCAAATCTAGTTGTTCAAATCATGAATCCCAGGGGTAGGGTGTTGCAACAATGGCTGATCAAAGGTTAACATAGAAACATATGGGATATTTTTTTTCTTCTCCAGAACCATTGGATCAGGAAAGATGAAAGTCATGTGGAAGCATGGTTTATTGATATAGCCACAATTTCTCAAGTAATAAAAATTCTCACACCTTTCCCCCCCAACAAGTGAACTTTTCAATACTGACCTGATATGTGTTTTGAACTGGCCTACGTGCTCAGGTGAGCGATTGGCCTTTTGTTGAATATATATTTTTAAATTTTAGGCATCCCTATTATAAAGATATTTTATTGTTAATTTGTACAACTTTTATTCAAACCTATAATACAATAAAAGCTTTTAGGGGTATCTGGATTTATATTTTTTTTACAATCTGTCATAACTTGGGAGATTATGCCAGGCAAAAGGCTAAATATGTAAAAGAGGTACATCTTTGTTTGTAAGGATTTTTATGATGTTTCGTAATGGAATACATAGGGTAGGTCAAATTCTTTTGGCTCTGTGGAATATCAAAAGTATTTAAAACTGACATTTGAATTTGAGGAATTTCTTCCTTAGAAATGGAAGAATGAGTATAAGTAGGATTTTCACTTAGAATTAAATCAAAGTTCTTTTAAAAAAACAATTTACAGTGTATATAATGAGCCTTACAAACGAAGACAATGTTGTTACCTGCTTTCTCGGCAGGGACCAGTACGTACTGATTATTTAATCTACTTAATTTTCTTTTTCACTTCTGGGTTTTTCAACACAGAAGGATAGATGGTTTTCATACTGTCCCTCAATCTTTTAATGCTCGACTTTAACATGGATCTAATATATTTACTTCATTTTGACAAGGTGTCAATGTCATTATATAAATTGCATTCTAGAAGAACTTTGATTTAATTCTACAAGTGGTAATCCTACTTATACTCATACTTCTCTTTCTAAGGAAGAAATTCTTCAAAATCACCTGTCAGTTTTAAATACTTTTAATATTATACAGAGCAAAAATGAATTTGAACTACCTTATATATATTGGATTCCGAAACTTCATAAGAATCCTTACAAAAATACATTGCAGGTTTCAGTAAATGTTCAAGCAAGCCTCTTTCGTTACTTGCACTAAAATATTGACAGAAGTGAAGGAAAAACTTCAAGAGTACTGTGCAACTTTATATTCAAGAAGTGGTGTAAATCAGATGTGGATACTTAAAAATTCTAAAGAACTTTTGGACAATTTGAAATCACAAGACTTTACAAAAATTAACAGCTTAAAAACTTACGACTTTTCAACTTGTTACACAACAACACATTATACACACATTCCCCACGACAAATTAAAATCCAGGCTTTTTAATTTCATTGACAGCTGCTTCTTCAACAAAAATGGAACTCGTAAATTTACTTGCCTCTTCATTGGTCATTTGAAATATTATTTTGATAAAACAGATTCTTATTGCACACATAAGTACTCTTAAGTTGACATCAAGAAGATGCTTGAGTTTCTGATTGACAATATCTATGTGGTTTTTGGAGACCGGGTATTCCAACAATCTAATTGAATTCCCATGGGTACAAATTGCGTTCCTTTATTAGCAGACTTATATTCATATTCATATGAAGCAGAATTTATGCAAATCTTATGCGTGAAAAGAAGAAAACACTTGCTGCTGCCTTCAACTCGACATTTAGATATATCGACGACGTATTGTCAATTAATAATGATAATTTCCATTCCTACGTCGACACGATATATCCTGGTGAGTTTGAGATAAAAGATACCACAGAGTTTGACACTTCTGCTTCATACTTGGATATTTTACTTGAAAAAGACACTAATGGTAATCTAACAACCAAGCCATACGATCAACACGATGACTTTAACTTTTCTATCGTCAATTTCCCTTACTTATGCAGTAATATACCATCATCACCTGCATACGGAGTATATATATCTCAGTCGATTCGATACGCAAGAGCATGCTCTAGGTATGAACAATTTCTTAAACGAGGTGAATTATTGACAAGCAAGATGATGAAACAAGAATATCAACAGTCTCGTTTAAAGTCACCATTTCGTAAATTCTATGGTCGATACAAAGACCTTGTCAGCAAATACAATTTATCATTGAATGAAATGCTGACTGACGTTTTTCATACCAATTGTTAGTCCATTATTTATACACTGAATTGACCACGGATTTTTCCGTTATTTCCTGATTATGACAACGGGCGCACAGCGGGTGTGACCGGTCGGCAGGGGATGCTCACTCCTCCATGGCACCTGATCCCACCTCTGATGTTTCTGAGGTCTGTGTTTGCTCTGTTCTTATTTTGTATATTTGTTTAATAGACGATGAGATTGAATACTGTTCGTTATTTCCATTTCCTTTTCTGCTTATTTCCTTTTCTGCTTATTTTGACAGGGCTCTATTGATTATATAGTGAAAATACATGAATTCTTTGAAAAAACTTCTTCTCTGCTCCTAGGTAGATGTATTAAATAAAGTAAGTGCATAGTTATGTATGAAAAAGAGTGGATAAAATTTTGAATTTCATGGCCCTGGGGTCAGGGGTTCTAGTGTTAGGGTGGGGCTGTATTGATAACATAGCTAAAATACATGCATTCTTTGATTTTCTTCTCTGTTCCTATGTATTTAATTAATCTAATTAAATGCATAGTTATGATGAGCAAGAGTGCTTCAACCATGATTTTAAAGAACCACGAACGATAGTATTGTTCTCCCGCCTAGCTCTAAGTCAAATTTCAAAAGTTAACATATTTGAATGATTTTAAGAATGTTTTTTAGATATGTATGTGAATTTTCATAAAACGTTTCTTTTTTGGGATATCAAAGAAAGATAACTCTATAATTATGGTAAAACTTAAGTATTTTACAATAGAAATCAATGGAAAACGGAAAATATTTTTAAAACACCTCCCCCCCCCCCATGAAACAAAAATTCTTTTTTACAGGTAATATAGACTGTCATTTTACAAATTTATGCCAACGCTTTTTGTGTTTCACGGGGGGGAACATATGTTTATAGACAAAAAACAAAAAAATGTTAATTTTTCACCAGATCTAAAGCTATTTACAACTAAATAATTGTATTTTGATAATTTATATATGTTTTATTTATTTGTGTAAAGTATAAGAAAAGATATGAAATACATTTAATCATAATTAATACTATTTCAAAATAAAGTGATTCTTGAAAGTTCGATTTTATTAAAAAATATCGTCTACCCCCCTTTTTTGAGAGCTGAAATTAATGATCATATACTATCTAGAGCTGGAATTAAAATGATTAATCAATTACCATAGAACTGTTCTTTGTACTAAACCAAGACTTAATGGCCAAATTGCCATTAAAATTGAATTTAAAGGGTGGGAATCAAGAGTTAGAGTACGTGGTTCTTTATTTCCCTAG